TTTGGCTCACCTTCGGAAGCTTGGCTGCTAACTATGGTGCGGTACCATTCTCCTGCCGGACCCCGGGCGGCAGGAGGTAGTAGCCCTTAACAAGCTGTAATGTATACAATATACAATGATAATGATTCATAATATCCAACTTTCGCGAAACTTTCGCGAATAAAAAAATGTTCTTTCGCGAACTCGAAAAAAAAAACCTGCGCGAGGGTTTCCAACATAACACGGCTTTCGCAATTAAAACTCCTTACAAGGACCTTTAGATCGACTGCCATATATATATATGATACGATTAAATGGAACTTTATTGGGATTTTAATTGGATCTTCATTGGATCGTGATTCGATTTCATGGGATTCGAATTAGATCGTGATTGGATTTCACGGGATTTAATGTGATTTGGGCGTGATTTTGATATGTTCATAGCATTTATATAGGGGATTTATGGGATCGGGGATTTTCATATGAAACTCAAGCAGGCCAGTAAGATTCCTAGTGACCTATAGGGTCTGGTAAACCCAATATCAAACCTTCCTGAAAAAACTGGGGATGGTTTACGGTTTGGGGTTTACCACATTGATAAACATGGCTTTGTAAATTGGGCAGCCCCAATTTTCCAATCGATCCATGACCAAGATCTCATCACAAAACTGGAGCCTCAGCTGGGCCCGAAAACAGCCACAGTGCTACGTGGGTGGCAACTTGTTCTGACACCGGCAACAAAATCCATGCAGTCTGACGCAGTGTGCGGGTGTTGCCACACCAAAATATGGATAGCCATACCTTCCGGTAATCAAACATGGCGCTGGAAAAGAATCCACCATCATATGAGTTTCCCATTAAAGCTAAAGCCACCATTTACAGGGGCTTTCCCAGCCAGCCATGTTTGATTACCGGACGGTCGGCATTACATATAGTGTCTACTTCGACACAAGAATGGAGGACAAGAAAGGCCAGAAATCAGCTTTGGCTAGGGCTCAACAGGTACCTGTATGAACATACGAACTACAGTATCACAAAGAAGCGGGTTCCAGGAGTATATAGATAGAGATAGAAATATCATGAAATGTCATGAAATATTATGAAATGTCAGAAGATATCAGAAGATATCAGAAGCAAGAGAATTGCCGGTAAACAAAGAACTAGTCGGGAAAGCTAAAAACAAGTCAGGGGCTTCCCCCCATCCCCCCAACTGAATTGCGAGATGTTTCCATTTACAAGACTGACTTGGTGTCAGAGAAAGGCCACATGACCGTGCCAAGCATAATCGACACTGGGGCACTGTGGTGGTTTATATACAGATCAAATGGATTTGAATCATCGCTCGCTCACAGGAAACTTCGAATTGGCTGGATCGCCACTAAGCGAAACCTACCTCAGACAGCAGGTCTGTCCAGGAGCCCCAGGTTTCCAATGCCAACAAGATCAACAAGGCATCGCTCCATGAGAATCCACCATTTGTAGATCAGTAATCCATGGGAGAATCACATGCCGCACTGAAAGATAGTCGCCACCAAGTTGCTTGAAACAAACCAATGCAATCGCCTCCACCTCAGCCATGCTCCCATTGGGCTCATGCTGTCATATTTGCCCTTATCAGATATCCGCAGTGAACTGATAGCAGGCTATGACAGAACTCTTCCTCTACTTCAAACAATTCAATTTGCCAAACCAGGACTTGCCCAGCTTGGCTGGCTACAAAGTAGATGATCCATCTGGCAGTGTGTCAAAACCTTGTACCCCTGGGACCCCTGGTGAACATCAAAATAGCTGGTAAATGGATGTTCATCCCACTAAAAATGGTATTAATAGGTATTGATCCATACCCATCTATGTCCAATGGGGATGTTCCGATCAGCCTTGCCAGGAGACTGAGGCCCCCCACGCCCGAGCAGTGACCTCGGAACATGCTCAGCCGACATCATGGCAGCCGCAGCATTGCGGGTGCACACCAAACGAAGCTTCCTGCACTCCAAAGGCGGAAAAAGCACGAACTCTTGCCTCAGCTGCAAAAAAAGGGGGCCCTAAAGCCATATATATATACAATTATATACATATAGGTAAGTTGGTCAATAACTGTTTTAGGATTTATAGTATCTATGGACATAAGTAGATCATACTTTCATGGTGGATAGTGATCAAGCGTTGGGATTTGGGGGATTGGGGTCAGCTTTTCTTCGCCAAAAAACCTGCCAAAAAATATTAGGGATCTAAATCAGCAAAGTTGGGAATATCATAATCATATATATATAATATGTAATTATCATATAATTATCATATATATATATAGCAGAAGGCTTCAAATTTTGCTGGGCCCTCTCAAGCAACGGATTTGAGCTCAGTTTTATTGTGTGGAGATCCATCACACTCAGGCTTTTGGACGCATATCTTCTGTGATGGGAAGTGTTTGTCAAACGTCTACAATTTCTGGGCAGTCACGAGGAATTTTCAATAGGAATAGTTCCCAAATCAGAAGGGCCTACATTGGTGCGATTTCCCATAC